GTGCGTGCGTGCGTGCGTGCGTGCGTGCGTGCGTGCGTGCGTGCGTGCGTGCGTGCGTGCGTGCGTGCGTGCGTGCGCACTCTCATCCTGCATGACTCACACCTTTTACTGACCACAGTGACACAGACGAATACTCTCCACTCGTTTTTATGTCTTGGTCGTATTCTTCATATTACACTGGCTGGTGACTGACTCTCTCGGCCTTGGTGATTGATTACAAAGCTGCATCAATCCTTCATTGCATTGTTTTGGAGTTTTCTACAGTGTGATTATGTATATGATAACTTAGTCACTGTATTGTTCTCCTGCATTGTCCTGAAAGGGGTAGCTGAGAGCAAAAGGAATCCTCCACATTTGTCCCCTGCCACTTTTCACCCCTGAAAGACTTTTAGGTCTTCTTTGGAAGCCATTGTCCTGCTCGTATCCTGTGCCCATGTTAACAGTCAGACAGCAGATTTTACGCATGTGGCCTTCCTTCTGTGTGTGACCTGCAGGGAGGCCTGTGATGTCTTTCATTGGCACAATCACATTGGTCAGGTTCTGTCAACATGACTTTACTACAGAGCTACTAAGCATTTCAAAATAGTCCAGGTTGGGACCCCCAGTTGATTTGCAAATGAAGATTAAATTATAATCACTTTAAACAATTTAGCAGTGTATGAAGTAATTACTATCCCCTTAAAATAAGCCTGAAGTCAAGACAGGTATTTATTTGTGCAGGTCTTAGTGATTTCATAGTGAGTTTAGATCAGTTCAGTGCAGAGCCCAGACCTTAATCCAACACATTTGCTGAGGAATGAGCTACGAGAACCACTCACACCAGTATAACTGGTGTGTGACAGAGATTCAGTCAGTGTGACATTAATTGAATGATTTTGTATATGGATAAGTGCTCTGTGTGGTCGCTGACAGTTTTATTCTCTCACTTCTCTTTACATTGGTTAAAATAATCCAATACTAATGTGAGGAGGCTCTCTGTAGGTCACATTAGCAGCATTGTTTCTTTGTGACGTTTCACTGGGCAGCTGTCAGTCTCAGAACAAACCCACCTCCCTGGTGTTAGATCACAATGCAATTCAGAATGATGTCATTACAGTGACTAATGGCCACTCCTTCAAAGCAGTTACTTGATCCAGGGTGTGGAGCAGTGTTGTTGGCAACTAAATGTAGTTTGGAGCAGTATGAATGTTTATGTCCTATTAGCAAAGTGTGGCAGCTTACATTGTTTGTAGTCCACCTTCTTACCCCCACCAAGGACGTTATGTTTTCACCCCTCTCTGTTTGTTTGATTGTAAGATTACAAAAAGACAACTGAATGGATTTCTGCTAAACTTGGAAGGATGTGGTATGGGTGAGGAAAGAACCCGTCAAATTTTGGTGTGAATCCTGATCAGATCCAGGTCTTTTTGTCACTTTCTATAACATTGCGAGATATGGCATTTTATAACGAGACCAATTAACGGAGCTTGATGAAAAAACATTGAGCATGTTTAGAGGACTATTATTTATTTGGAAGGGACAGTTTGGCCTCGATGGAGGTATGCACTCTACTGACTAGTTCAAAGTATTGTTTTAACATTATAGGGATTTTGGAAGTTTGACGTGTGCATATGAATTGTCTTATGTTATTTTGAGGTAGGTCTGGAAAAAATGGAGGACATACATGTATTTGTCTCTTCAGTTCTTTTGATGACATGTTGCCTTATCTGCGTCCATCACAGGTTTGAAGAGCTCTGATCATATTGGCTCCACGGCCAGCCAGGTGGCCAATCACGTGACAGTAAGGTTCTCTGAGGAGGGAGACCAACAGTGAGACCCTCTAACTACACCCGCTTCTGCTTCACCTGTCCCACTCCATCATCACTGCCATGTCCTTACCTAGTGGCAGCCCAGAACGAGAAGACTCTGTTGGGGCTCTCCCTCAGCTAGAGTGCCCTTCTTCCCCTCCCGGTATGGACCAAGACCCCTCATCCACAGGCAGCCCAGTGCTCAGCCCAGACTCATCTTCTCACGATGCAGCACTGTCAGCACCAGCTGCCTCTCCAGCGGACTCTGAGAACCTGAGTCCCGATGAACTGGAGCTGCTGGCCAAACTGGAGGAACAGAACAGGTGTGACAGTAGCTCCTCTTATTGTGTGAAAACAAAACAGTTATTACATTTTCATTAGTCCAGAGTTCACTTGTACAGTCTCAGTCAGTTGACTCCTTGCTTTATTATACTCGTAAAGTTTTCCATTCTCACACTCCACGAATGCAGTTTGGCTGATTTACCTCTTAAAATATGGCAGCAATTTTTTAAACAACAAGACATTTCACATTTTTAAACATATTTTGGACCAACTGAAATGATTGGCTGGTGTACCTTAACCAACCTGCCTGCCTGATCCCATGACAGGACTTTTTACACACAGAGACACACCACTGAAGCAGAGACAATACGTTAGTGAGCGAGTGACAGAAAGGTATTTTTTTTAGATCAGTTGGAGGGGTTGGGATGTATCGGTGGCATATTGTCAAACTATAGTGTGCTCTTGCTAGCTCTTCCAGGATTACCAACCTTAGTTTGAAAGTGACTTGATTGACTAGTGACTGCACTTTGGTATTTGTTTTAACACAATTTGATGGCTGGTGCTTCCTTAATCCAAAAAAGTGCAGGACGTCTTTTCCTCTACTCCAACCTGATGCACAAGCATCTTGGCAAATACCTACATCATGCATGGTAGATATTTTTTAACAATAACAAAGTAACCGGTATGTCAACTCAGCACAGTTTTAGCCTGTTCAGTAGGGTGAATAAAACACCACAACCTAAAAATTGAGGAATCCTCTGGGAACCAAGAGTCATACAATGAACATAAAAAGAGTTTAAATCATAGCTACTTGATGCCTCAAGTAAAACTCTCCTGATCAAACAAGAGTGTAAACTCAAGACTACAGATGAAAGAATGGACAAATGGGTCAAGTTTAAAGTTTCCTTGAAAGTTTGACTTCAGCTGCAGAAGCTCAAGTGCAGAAAATAAGGAGTTGAACGTAGCGTGAAAACAGCAGCTAATTAATGAGATGGTCTAATAAGAGATAATTAGAGCTTCATAATTAGGGATACAAAAATATGGTTTCTAGGGACTATTTTTAAATAACAGTAATGGTACAAGTATCATAAAACTTTTATCATCCTGACACTTTCATCCAGGAACATTGAATTTTTTCTGTGTTATCACAGAAAGTTGTCTGCAATAAAACCCAAATATTATCTTGTTCATAGAACAAATTTCAAATTACCTTGCTAAAAAAAACTGAATATTACTGAATGCCCAGAGGTTTTACAAAAAAGGTTTGTTCTTCAAAGGTCACATCAGACATTTTGAATTAATCTTTCCCCGATCTTCAAAAGCATGTATGCGATCATACATGCGATCTGTTTACCTGTCATGTATTTAGCCCTGTGATTGTTTTAGGGGAAAAAATAAGCATACAGATGGATAGCAAAGCTAGGAATTGAGGAATTGATAGTTTAAGATTTCTAAAAATATTTTGATATATTTTTCTCCACCTAACCATCATATAACCAACTTACACTGTAACTGTGCTCTCTATAAACAGTGAAACAGTTCTACAGCATCCACTCAAGCCCACAAGGCTCAAAATCGACTTAACATGTAGGATCATTTTTATCCTGGAATTTGTATGGACAAGGCAGGAAACAACAAGTTATGGTTATGTCAGTGTTTTAGAAAACATTGAATAGGTGACATTAAAAAATAAGAACTACATTGCTTTTATCTTTTCCATAACATAAGTTCAACAATTGAAAAAATGGAAGGGAGTTTGATATGTAGAGCAAGAACAATAGGACCAGAAAGATGACACTAAAATCAAGGAACCACATGCTGTAAAATTCTTTATCTACAAATCACATGTTTAAGCAGAAGGGTCAGACTGTTGGATGTTGGAGTCAAGTGACTAAAAGGAATCAGACATTTGTGGTCAGAGTGTGACTGAACCCTCGGGCGTGAAGAGCTTTCTCTTTAATCACATCATCTCTGCCTCCCACTGTCCTGCTGTCTCACACTCCTAGGAATACAAGGATGAAAAAATATTTACACTTAAGATAACCTTGATACCAATCTCATAATAGCTTAGCATAAAGAGTGGGAATGGGGATAGACCTAGCTGCCCACAGATAAAAACAAATGCAATTAGTAGCTCTCAGATTAGCATATTTTCCTTGTTTTTATAAATCTGTACAATAACTGTGGTGTAAAAATGATAACATGTGGACAGGAGCTCTGTTTACTGTGGCCTTTGGGCTTTTTAACTTTGCATACCTTTTACATACACAAAACCCCTAAATAACACACAAAGAAAAACCTAAAAAGCAAAGTATGTCTCCTTTAAAAACCTTCATAGTCACAAAGAAACCAGTCCAGCTGTGTGTGCAGCATCCTCACGGGTCAGTGTCTGAGTTGATATTTTGAGGTAACTACCCCCGAGGCCTCTGGTGTCTCAGGGAGGTTGTGCACAAACCATACTGATCCTCACGTCACATCTGCCTCAAAGTCACATCTGCCTGCCATAACTCTCAATGCTCACCTCAGCTTCCCTTTCACTCTCCAGTGTGTGTACCATCTTCTGTCAGACAAACATGCTGTTCTGTGTTTCCTGCTTGAATGCATCTTTTCCATCTGAAATTATTCATCCTAATATGAGCTTCTTATCCCTATAAAATGTCTCCTAATGCAGGTTACTGGAGGCCGATTCCAAGTCCATGCGGTCGATGAGTGGTTCCCGGCGCAACAGTGGGTCCTCACTAGTTTCCAGCTCCTCAGCCTCCTCCAACCTGTCACACCTGGAGGAGGATACCTGGATCCTGTGGGGTCGCATCGTCAACGAGTGGGAGGAGTGGAGACGCAAGAAGGACAAACTACTGAAGGTGTGCTTTTGGGAAGAAAGATGGCAAATGAAAGATTAAAGCTGTCACATCTAGCACTTTCCCAAGAATGAGTCATTGAGTATAAATCTAAATGAGAGCATTATAAGAAGATACACCTGTGGATCAGGTTTGAGAGGAAGTTTAATGGATCACCTAGTGGAAAAGAACAGAAACAGGACACTGTTAATCCCTTACTCATTGCACATTCTATGCAGGTTTTTATATTCACACGCACAGACTGTGTCACAGGTCAATTATTTCTTTGTGCATGTGTGTGTCATAGCCTAGGGTTAGTTTTATTTGCTAACATCCTCTCACAACTTATCAGGCTTATGTCCTTCTGTGTCCTCTTTGACAAAAAGAGGAAAACCCCAGGGGAAGAGAAGATGGATGAGAGAAGGAAAGGCAAGAAAATTGTCAATGGAAAAAAGCTTAATGTCAATGGTTGCCTACAAACTCTACAGACAGACTTTAATGACTAGGTTTTGAAAAACATTAGGTTAAGATTTAATGTGAAGAGTGATCCATCATAATGTACTGAGGGGCTGTAATGATAATATACTAAAAGGTCCTTGTAAGTATACAGTATCTATTTATCATTTCATAATTGACTCTCCCTTTCTCATCACACGCGCACACACACACACACACACACACACACACACACACACACACGATTTCTGGTGGTACGACTGTTTTTTCCACACCTGTGAGTGTTCAGAAGAAGTGTACAAATTCAGATAAAACTAGAATGGCACTCATTATTATTATTTCTTGAGAAAGCACTACAAAATTGGGAAAACACCTGATCTTGCAATGGTGAAATTATTTTTGTCTTCCTCTCTCTGCACATCAGGAGTTGATCAGGAAGGGCATCCCTCATCATTTCCGGGCCATCGTCTGGCAGCTGTTAGGCAACGCCACTGACATGCCGGTGAAGAACCAGTACTCTGAACTGCTAAAAATGTCCTCCCCCTGCGAGAAGCTCATTCGCAGGGACATCGCCCGCACCTACCCCGAGCACGAGTTCTTCAAAGGCCAGGACAGCCTGGGGCAGGAAGTCCTCTTCAATGTCATGAAGGTGAGCACTGCCGCATTTCACATCACCTCAGCATCTGAACTTCTGTGTTCATATGAAAAGGTGAGACTTGTGTCTCTTGGAATAAATGTTTTTGTGTGGACACACATGCATAAATAACTTGGTTAACTTTGCTTGTATTTTTGGCAGTATGCTTTTAAAATCCCATCACATATCACATATGTTAAACTATTATGCACTAGTTCTTAAATACATTCAGGTAAGCCTTGATTATGTTAACGTTTCTTCCGCTTTAAAAAAATTGTCCCCAATGATACAGATACTAGCTCGGTGTGATAAATCTACAAACCATTCCAATATGGAAGTAAAAACAAGTCTACAAACACCGCACCTATTTAAAGCAGCTCATTAACTGTCATGTTAACTGTGATTTTAGTAGCTGTTTCCTCTAGAAATAAAAGGACCTCTGATGACTTTTAAATTTTTTTTTATTCAGGCATATTCTCTGGTGGATCGAGAGGTGGGCTACTGCCAAGGCAGTGCATTCATCGTAGGCTTGCTCCTTATGCAGGTAATGATCCAATGATTCGTAATTAGTTAATTATTCATGAAAAGCTACTTCACCTTAAGAATTATAAGGTTCATTATGATCTGTCCCACTAGAATTCTCTGATTACTATAACTTAAAACTGTTGATAATTTTATTTTAAATTGTAATAGGCAATTAAATTGTCTCTGGATGTTCAGTCAGTGATAAGTTCAGTATGGGAGTCACTGTGTTTCAACATAAGCTTTGTCTGATTTATAGTAGTGAGAGAACTTTCCTCACCCATGTCATTTCCTCCCAGATGCCTGAGGAGGAGGCCTTTTGTGTGTTTGTACGTCTGATGCAAGAGTACCGTCTGAGGGAACTGTTCAAACCCAGCATGGCTGAGCTCGGCCTCTGCATCTACCAGTTTGAATATCTGCTGCAGGTAAAACAAAAAAGGAAGCTCAAGTCCAACAACATGAGGGCTGCAGTGTGAAACTTGTCCATAGAGGGGCAGTAAATTGTTTTTATTATAACTCCAGCAACAACCTTCTTTTGTGACTTAAACGTTTGAGTTTCTTTTAGTTATGTCAACTTGAAAATCATTTGTTATGACAGGAGCAACTTCCAGAGCTGAACGTCCATTTCCGGTCCCAGAGTTTCCACACATCTATGTATGCCTCGTCCTGGTTCCTCACCCTTTTCCTCACCTTCCTCCCTCTGCCTGTCGCCACTCGCATCTTTGATATTTTCATGTATGAAGTAAGTTTGACAGTGTATATTTGGTTTACTAATCTATATTATTTCAGTTTGCAAAGCTCTATAATAAAATCTATGACCTGCAGGGTCTAGAGATTATCTTCCGCGTGGGCCTGGCCATCCTGCAGTACAACCAGACTGACCTCATTCAGCTGGACATGGAGGGCATGTCGCAGGTAAACAGATACTTTCGGGGAGGAATTAGTTTCCTGTTCAGATTCACTCATGAGTCACTGGCTCCACATTTCCATTTGAAAGCAAATTTTTAGAGATGTGCTCTAAAAAGGAGGCTTCAATTGCTTCTAGTCATTTTAAACATAAACAGTATTTAATGATACCATGATTCTCTTTTTGATTAATTATATAAAGGCAAGCTGTGGCATGACGTCTCTTTCAACATGTACAATATTACTTCTCAACTTCATGTGCTATATATGCAAATTACTTTAATAATTTCATGTACAATATCACTTCCAGTTTTTATCATGTACAGTATTATCTTCATATCATTTGCAATACTTACTTCTAATTTGTGATTTCCAATACTACTTTTTCTATTCTTATTTTATTCTATTTTAGTTTATGCTTATATTTTTTTTTTTTTGTAACTAATCTTTATTGTATTGTCATTTGAGCATGGAGCATGATCTTGCACAAGAATATCCTTTTGGATTGGTAAATTGCTCTCTTATCTTAACTTAATTATATCTATTATAATAATTTTTCTCTCTCTTGTTTTACATGTATCTTTCATGATCTGGATGCAGCTGCTGTATTAACAGTCAGGGAGGGATTGTTATATTTAAGCATTGGAAATTAATGGTGTAGCTACCTATAATTCTGAAAGGTAGTTACACCTTTTGATTTTATGATGCTTAAGTCTCCACTCAGTTTATGACTTAGTGTTTTATAACCTATATGAAGTGATCTGATGATTTTGTGTTAAATATAATAGAATTTGATTTAACAGCACAAGAACAAACAGCACTGCACACAACTCTACAATGAAGTAATGTTTTCAAACAGATCTTTTATGTAATCATGTGTTAAATATTTTCGGATTATTATGAAACTATAGTGGGACAAATAAGACGATGATGCCTGCCACAGGCAAGGTTCATTATATGAATCTTACATTGCCTGTATGGCTTTTGTTCACTCTACAAAAATGTTTCTAGCTGCGTCTTCATTGAATACGAATGAGTGTCTTTGTCACTCTAGAGCTCTAATCTTCTGTCTGTCCCCCTCTGGACCTGCCAGCATTTCCAGAAGGTGATCCCCCACCAGTTTGACAGCTGCCCCGACAAACTGATCCTCAGGGCCTACCAGGTCAAATACAACCCCAAGAGGATGAAGAAGTAAGAGCCATTACTACTCAACTAACAACTTTTGTGACTCAGGCTTCATGTAGACTTGGAGGATTTGTATTTGCGTTTTACCTAATGCTGAGGTTTTTCCTGCGAAGTACACTCATACCTGGTGTTAGTTATGTGCTTGTTTTCTGTTTCAAATTGTATGACCTATAAATGCCTTTAGATAGCAGTGCTATATGTTGTCATGCTATGAGCAACAACTTCACAGCACACACACTTTTGCTACAGAAACGTTAATATTACATGTCATTTAGCTCGTGTGTGTGTGTGAGTGAGTGAGGGAGGGAGAGCAGCCATGTCTAAGGACATTTAGGAGCAGTAGAGGATGGAGGACGTCTGAATGGTTGAAAATGTATTGGTGTCAGGGTTGGTTTCATTAGAGAACAATAATTTATTTTAGTGTGTAGTATGTTTTTAATTTAATTATTGTGATGTGTGGATGAGACACCAGGAAGAGGTATTTTCCTGCTTGGTTTTTTGAGCATTATAAATCAGATGTAGCACAAATTATTGAAGCAAGAAGGAGGAAGTAACCTGTTATGTTATTTTCCACTAGACTTGAGAAAGAATACACCACCATCAAGAACAAAGAGATGGAGGAGCAGATTGAGATCAAGGTGTGTTTAACTCAGTGTGTTGTATTTTATGTATTTGTGCACAATAGGGATATTCCATTAAAGAGTTTTAGTATGAAAATGAATGCAACAACAAAATGACTGCTCAGTACTTCTCCGCTCCTCTCTGCGCAGAGATTACGCACAGAAAACCGGCTTCTGAAGCAGAGGATTGAGACACTGGAAAAGGTGAGAGATGGATTCCAGCTCATCTAAATGCTAACACGAATCTGTTTTATGCTGCATCAAACAACCGGATCACTCAGCAGAGGACTCTTCACACTACGATCAGATGAAGTTAAACACTGTGATAGGGTCATTCTCTAGGTTGTTTAAATGTTTTCCCGGGGGAGCTTGTTGGTGCGTGTGTGGGTGTAGATGCTTGTGATTGGGTCTATTTGCACACAAGGGTTTTTCCCTCTGCTTGAGCACTCCAGAGAGACTCACTGTCATTTAAAGCTTCTTCTCTGTGAAATACTTATTTTCTGAGTGATCTCACTGTTGCTTCTTTTTCTACACTCCTCTGTATTTGTTTCAAATGTTTGCTTCCTCAATCTGTGATCCTTTCTATTCCTTGACTTTCCTCTCTGGATTTGTTGTGGTTTATCCTCCCTGGTGTCCCATACTCTTTCACTTCCTTCATCTCTCTTTTTTTTTCATCCTCTTGTTCCTCTCCTTTAATATGCTGTAGGAGAGCGCTGCTCTGGCAGACAGACTGATTCAGGTAGAGTACTGTAAACCACTTTCCTTCCGAGCTTGCTGTCCTCCTCTTCTTGCTCTCCTGCAGTGCTTTTCTCCCTCTGCTTAACAATCTCCAGGCAAATGTGCATGAAAAGAATATTGTCTATGTAGTTTATCAGTCCACATCCTTTTATCCCTATATGCATGTACAGTTATTTATCCATGATGAAAATTGAAATGAAGCAGAACAATCCCTGCATGTGGCATGTAAAAGTGTATTATTACTCATGTGTCTACTACCAATTTTTATTATAAATGCCAATAATTCAACAAAATGTGAATAAAATACAATATAAATTGTAAATTTTGAGGAATATAAGTATTTACTTTTTTTGCAGAGAATATAAAGCAGCTGCCAGTGGCCTATTGTCTTCTCTCAGCATAAAAACAGGAAGCAACCTGTCTGTTTTCTTAGCTTGCTGCAGGCTTGGGCAAGTAGAGTTCAATAAAATAGATATAGAATGTTAATATGTGACCTTAAGAGGTGCTTTTAGATGGATTTTTATACTTCTATCCTTCAAACAGACCAAGGCTAATAGGTCGGTTGTTAAGGCTAACATGAAAGCAAATGAATTTATTTTATAAAATTTTGAACTTTTCCTTTAAGGCTTAAAAAATCAGCCATGTGGGGTGCCATATAGCTCACCTGGTAGTGTTGGCGCCCCATACCAAGCCTCTGCAGTGGCTCAGGTTTTATTCTGGCTTGCGGCCCTTTGCTGCATGTCACCCCCCGTACGCTCTCTGTCCCCCTTTCTTACTTAACTCTCTGTCCTGTCAAATAAAGGCCAAAAAGACAAAAATATGTACTTAGCAAAAATCAGCCATTTACCATGTTGCAAAATTCCCTTTAAGCACAATAACATTTCATTCCCTGGATGCCCACACTTACCCTTCTCCCTACATCGATATAAACTCTGCACTGTAAAGTTTGCACTTCACAGCCGATCGTGACCCCTCTTCTGCTCTGACCTGCTGCTATAGGGTCAGGTGACAAGGGCACAGGAAGCAGAGGAGAACTACGTAATCAAGCGTGAGCTGGCAGTGGTGAGGCAGCAGTGCAACACAGCCAACGAGAGCCTGGAGAAAGCACAGGACACCATCAGAGAGCTGCAGCAACAGAAGGTAAAACCTCAGACCAGAGTCTGTGCTCACACTAATGCAATGACTTTCTCTCACGGTGGAAGCACTTAATCTGCAAATCTCTGTGGTATCTATTAAGGGATTTAAAAAGCTGGGCTGAGTTTGTGTGAAAAATCAAACTAGCCCTGTTTCACTTAATCCCAGTTTGGACAGAAGTACAGATCATGTCAAGTGTTTGTAAAAACATAGAGAATATGACAACATACTTTTAGTCTTAATTAATTAAAGGATAATTCTTTTGAAATACATTTACTCTTTCTTGAGCTGCTTTCAGGCATGCACCGAATTCCGAATAATCCCCTGAAATTATCTGGAGGGGCTGTTTGTCTCCAAAGTTTCTCCTGCCAAATCCAAAGTAAAAACTCAGGAGAAATCCTGTTTGTTTCCCTAGAAGAAAACAAACACTGGTGGTCAGGACTAGTCGTCTTTCTAAAGGTATATACAGTTCAAATTCACTTCAGCAAATCACTCTTCTCTGAAAATATGATGTGTGACAAAATTCATACATTATGCCTTTAGTACTTTAGTACCTTTAGTTTTTAAGCTATATACATTCACATCAAATTAAGAGCAGGAGAAACTAAAATAATATATAATATAATATATATCATTCAACTGTTGCCATTGTGAAAGGTCATGTTATTCCACCGCAGATTGCTGGCATCTATCGCCCACCAAATTTCACACCGCTCCACACACTCACATGTCTCATTGATAACCGAGACCAAAATGCTTGAAATGACGAAGTAAGACTGTTTTACTCACGCTATGTACTTGCCCAATTTCAAGCTGTTTTTATTTTGCCTCCTAGAAAAGTATTTTTCCTCTCACCCTTCTCTGTTTTTCCACCCTTCTGACATTTATAGCTCTGCAGTTTCACCTTGATGTTGTGACATGAAAATGTACAGTAACCTTTTTCTATGTTCTAACATCATTCTGAGTGTTGCTTAATATCAGTTTCCTTTTGTTGATCAGCAGTTTTTGAAGTTGGGCTACTTTACAGACAGTGTGCTAACAGATGGAAACATCAGTCACAGAGAAAGCAAATCAGCTGCCTTTTTCAACAGTTCTTTTATCATGTGGTTCAAGTGGCATGTTGAAGTCTATGCTCTTGATTTATTTTGTTACAGAAATTAGGAATACTGCAGTAACTCATGTGTTGCTGCAAATTTCCTGCTGTCTGACCAAAATGAAGCTCATGTGCAGAAAACTTGATGATGACAGTGACGCCTTTCAGAAATAAAGAAAAAGGATGTAGGAGTTCATGTCAGTACAGTGAACATTGAATATATTTGTCAGCAAAAAAACAGAGAGAGCAGCAGGTGTCATAATTCTCACCCATTAAAGCACAGTGGTAATTCTAGCTGTGCTGTGCCCCTTGTCATGACAAAATCTACATACAACTATGAAACAAACGTTCTCCATTGTGAGTGAACATTAGAAAAGTCAGAGGAAAGCTGATCAACAAAATGGTGTGAAGCCTCAAAGACCTGACATCCAGTGATCCTGCTTACCAGTGATGTTTGTCTCTGTTTGTCTTTGTTAGTACACAGAGCAGTTCGTGAGCAGTTTGCAAACCCAGCTGGAGCACTCTAAACTGCGAGAGGCCGAACTGCTTGGAGCGCTGAAGGAAATGCAAGACAAGGTGCTCGACCTGGAGAAGGTGGGCTCACAGTGTTAATGTTTGCTGACATTATAATTTTTATTATATGGATTAAACAATCCAGAAAATATGTGTTTATGTTAATATTTTACATTGAAGGTATAGTGTGTAGAATTTTGTGATATCTAGTGTTGAAATTGCATGTTGCTGCTGAAGACCCCTCACCTCACCCTCTCCTTCCAAGCATGAAAAAGAACCCCTGGTGAACTTCAGTTGTTATAAGTCATAACTCTTAAAGTTTAGTTTGTCCAGTCTGGACTAATGTAAAAAACATGGTGGCCACCGTAGAGAGGACCCCTTCGATGTAAATATAAAGTATTTAAATATTAAGGGCCTTTTCTGGGGTAAAGAAAACTACAATTCATACAATTTAGATGAAACAAACAAGTGAAAACATCATGAGGATTATTCTACATTAAATTTCTGCCAATAGATCCCTTTCACCTAAATCTTTTCACACTGGACATTTAAATAACGTTCTATATATTTGGCTGTATTTGGCATCACAGAGCCACCAGCATGGCTGTGAACTCGTTTAACTGACATTAAGTAATGTTTGTCCATCCAGAGGAGCAGTTGCCTGCCAGATGAGAACAATGTGGCAGCTCTACAGGAGGAAGTGAAGCAGATGAAGCTGAGGGAGCTGGAGACGCTGAGCTCCTTCAAAGAGATGCAGGACACTGTCACTGAGCTCAACCAGCGCTGGCAGGTAACACACACACACAGACTGGCGCTATTTCTTTATAAACCACGTGTGTGTCTATGTCTGTTCACTGTTTACTCCTGTTTCTGCAGCATCACATGTCCCGTGGCAGCAGCACAGGTGGCGGCCACTGGAAGGAATCTCCAAAGAAGAACGCCATGAATGAACTGCAGGACAAACTGATGACGGTCAGACTGAGGGAGGCACAGGCCCAGGCTGAGCTCCGAGAGGTCAAACTAAAATCCCTGCAGCAGGAGAGCCAGGTCAGACACACTACACAAACATACACTGTCAATATAATTTATAAGAGTATGATTTTCTCCTCCGTGGTGCCAAGGTGTTTAGTCAAGTATCGTTATTCAATCTAATAATTGTAGAAATCTGTCCGTTTTTCTGTCTGTGGAACGCATATCTCGAGAACTGTTAAGGGTACAATAAAGTGCACTGCTGACTTTGGTGCGATGGATGTTCAATATTAGTAAAAGTTAAAAAATAAACAGACGACCAGAGCTCTGTAGCAGAGGCAGTTGGGGCTTATCTACGTCAACGGTGCGTTTTGACAACGACAATTGATTCTGCAGTTCAGGGTTCTGCGTGTGGAGTTTCACTGATCCTTTGACAGGTGAACAGTCCATTGTGCAGCAGCGGTGGTGTAGCTTCACGTTTCTGTGGTTTCTGAGTCTAACAGCAGGTCTACTTGCCATAGCTCAATTACTGCAGGTCTCTAACAGTTTCAGAAAGAAAGCTGCAACCAGTATCACCACAGCTCATTCCAGACAGGCAGGTTTAGAGCTGCACTAGTACAGTTAACATTAAGCAATTTCAGTGATGTCAGCTTCACTGCAATTGTTTGATAAACTAGCTGATCGATTGATTCAAGGAAAGATTTGTTGGAGCCACACTGACCCTCTCAACTTTTTTTTTACTCCAGAACCAAATCAACAGCAAGCTGATTGGTCGGAATGAGCAGGAACGCTCTGCACTGCAGGACCGGCTCCAGATGTTGGCCAATCAGAACAAAGCTCTCCAGGCCCAACTCAACGAGATGAAAAGGAAGCAGGCCGAGTTTGACTGCAAGGTCTGCGTGGAGAGTGGGGGAAAAAGAAATAAAAAGAATGATTGATGGGGAGGGCAACATTTCCTGGTCCAGCTTAGTAAAATATAAAAGACGCGAACACATAGTATTAATTAGACACTAATCACTAGATTGGAAACAGAAGATTATAAAAGAAATTAATTAGAAATGGTGAGAATTGAGAATTTTTGTCCACAAAAGGAGGACAGGGGTCTGAGACAAATTATGATGCACATCAGTGTCCACCATATCATTCACAGTGTTCTGCCAATAACCATGAAATAACACTGTGTTCCCCTCCTTTCTCTCACTTACTTGCTGTATGTCTTTCTCTTGACTCCTCTCCCTATATCCTCGTACATGCAGAGTAAAGAGGAGGTGATGGCGGTGCGGCTGAGGGAAGCAGACACTATGGCTGCCATGGCTGAACTTCGGCAGAAGATCGCTGAACTTGAGATACAGGTGTGTGTTTATGTGGCTTACATAAATATAGATTAGATGAAGTGACTGTAAAGAGACTTTGACCTTGAACATGTCTGTGTCGAATGTTTTTCAGAAGGAGGAAGGGCTGATCCAGGGCCAGCTGAACCATTCAGACTCTAGACAGTACATCACCCAGCTCCGGGACCAGATTTCTGAGCTCAAAAACGAGGTTCACACACGCACACACTCACACACTAACATACATACGCACACCATACTGCAGCCTTGGTAACCACCACAAAAATGTCTTCTCTGTGCAGTGTCACAACAGACACCACTTCCGCCTTAACGCATTCACAGTTGTGTCAAAGTCTTTCTTGTAAGAGGAGACCACCACTCCTCCCAGACAACTTTGTTCTCATCATTTGGTTTGGTGGAAGGATGAGTGAGTTTCAAAAGAATCAGCGTGTATGAGTCAGATGTTTTATCTGTCACAGGAAAACACACAGCTGTGTGGTATCCACACACAGCTCTCCAACCCTATTTTAGAGACGCAAAGTTCTCACCGAACACAAGCTCAGGGTTTATTCATTCAGAGAGTAGCAGTGCGTGACTGAGTAAATTGTCTCAACTTTTAATGAGGGGGTGTGATGACATTGCCCTGCTCTTTACTGCTCCCCTACTGGCTTTTCTTCTCCCTCTCCCCACCTTCTTTGCGTTTCATAAACGCTGTGGTTTTATGAAATAGGAGTGAAACTTGCGTGCGTACAGATGAGGAAGCAATAAACTTGATAGAAAAATCTCAGTGGCACCTCTCTTTAAGCCATCACTATATGATTATGAGACATACGGACAGTCCCAATACACAACATATTCTACATAATACAGTTTTTACGCAAATAATTATTTATTGTGATTCAGTTTAGGGATTCATTTAGCTGTTTCCCTTTAGCATTTTGACAGTTCTCTGATGTTTTGATCCTCAAAAGGATAAGCCGTATGGTTGGATGACATTTTTATTTTATTAGTTTACATTACAGAAGCAAAAAAAATGGGAAAAGAGACCCCCAAAAGCACAACTTTGACCGATGTTTTTTGGTGTAGCGTGAGGAGCAGTCAAACTCAGTCAGAACATTTCCATTGGTTAACCACTGGTTTCCCCTCCCCCCACCCTGCTGCTCGACTGTAAGATTTGGCGAGAAACAAAAACCTCATTTGTCATGAGTCACTGTGGTACATGAATGTTAGCATGCAAGAAGCATGTGTATGCAGATGAACTCTTATGTTATGTCAGATGAGAGCGACTACACAGTAATCTAAAAGCTCAAAGAAATGAAATGATACATGATGGAAGAGAAATTTATAATCTTTTTTATTTTTTTATTTATTTAGTTCCTCTATCTGACATCACAGCCACAGGTGAGAACCCTCCTGTGCTCTGATTTAGCTGTAAAGACCACACTGACCTTTTTGCAAAACCTCTATGGAGCAGGATACAGATTTTCTCACCCAGCAACAATGTTTTTGCAAAAGCTCGTCAAACAGGTCTAACACAGTTTACACACTATTACCTCGTACTCTGTCATTGATGTAATACTGAAAATATTTACTGTGCTACTGAATCCTCAAATTCTCTCACAGCACAGTTGATGTTTGAAACTCATTTGTGAACTTTGTTGAATTAAAAAATAATGAATAGATAGATGGTCAAACCTCACATATGTTTCATTAATTTACCACCGGGCCTAAAGGCAGATGAAGTAAGAGAGAAACGAACAGATGAAATCTCCTGATTTCAGCTGTTTGATATATAGAATAAATCAACCTGTAGGACCCACCAAATGAAAACCTTCTTCTCTGTACTCAGATCAGACAATTGCGAGGACAAAGGTTGGCTCCCGGCACCGGCATCAGCAGCGGAGGCCTTGGTACCAACTACCAGGATCTCTGCCTGGCCAGCCCCGCCTCTGCTGAGGGGGACTACCTGAGCTCAGACGACGACCTTCTCCCCAGCCCGCTGCCTCCCAACGCGCTCTACCCCGCCCTGTCTGGTCCGTGTCACCCCTCGGCCCGCCTCGACAGCGAGGGCAGCACGGACAGCGAAGCGGAGGAGCGCATGCGGACACACCCGGACCCACAGCAGCTGTACGGCAGCATGGTGTGCGCGGAGGGACTGGATAATTGAACATATGGAGGGGGTGCGAAGATTCCTCTTGGATTTCTTTGACCTTAAGAGACGCTGGGGCTCTACAGGACAGGACCACCTCTGTAAACCAGGACTGTTCTATCCAATCCAGTCCTCCTCCGCAGCTTCTCCGGTGTTTATCTTTTACTTTATGCAGACACGATGGCATTGATCAGACCTCGGTTGGTCGTCACTACCTTTAGTCTCCGTTCCTGTGACTGCCTCCTCCACCCTGTTCCCCCCACTGAACGGTACCCTGACGAACGAGGTCATATAAAGCCTCTCTCCTTGTTCCCACGTGTAACTGTTTGCCTGCCATATCCATCCAAACACAAATGTACACAAAAAAAACGGAGTCTGGACTAATAAGACTGATGCTGCTCGCTGCTTAAGAATAACACAGGGACCTGATCCTGTGACCATGACGAGGAATGAATCATGGGTAAACAGATAGAACTCATCCCTTTCCCTGTGAACTGAATAACAGACACTGTATCCTCTGTCTACCCTTATATAACTCTCTGTCCTGATTGGTTCAGTATTACATACATCCTAATTGTTTCTTTCTCCATTTGTATGGCTTTTTTTAGAAAGAAACATCCATATTCACTGCCTCCATTAAAAAAAACCCATCTGCCATGGATTCACAAAAGAAAATTTAAAATGGCGACGAGCATGAGAAGGGAAGGTACAGTGTCTGAACATGTACATGTCAAACTGTGGGGTTAGCACAAGGCGGCATGTGATCCATGAACACTTTGACATGCTACATATGTGTTGTCTGTGTCTGTGGCAACAAGAAGGCAAGCGAGTCCATACAAAAGCTCATATTCACCATAACTCACAAAAACAGGAAGGAAGATACCCAATGTTGCCAAATCTTTTGTTTTTAGATTATTTATGTTGTAATTTATTTTGATATTTTTTTATATATCTAAATGAAACTATAGGAGCGTAGAGAAACCTACAGAGGCCAAACTTTCTACAGCCTCCCTTGTGCCAACCACTACAGGTCTACTGTGACACTGAGTGTTTCAGAGATGGAAAAAGTGCTGCTATTATTTTACATTTAGCTTCTTCCATTTTGTTTATTGTTTTCTTTTTATTATTTCATCCTAATCCTTGTGAGCAGTCTAACATGATTCCTCACTGGAGCTTTTCAGTATTTATCAATCAAAACCAATATTTGTCATTGCATCTGTGTGAGCTGAAGTTGAACATTTCAGCAACTAAGTTTATTCGCTGTCTGTCTGAGAGTCTGAGAGATAAAAGAGCTGCAGGGATAGATGATTATTTCTATAACTTGCACACAGTACAGTCCAGCACATCACCACCACTACCACAGCCTTCGTTACACCCCAACTTGTTTGAAAACTAATACTGTATTTGCCCACATCATTCAAGAGTGAGGCAGCTTGTAAAAGCCCTTAGAGAACTGAATGGAGCAAGGTGCTTTCTAGTTGATTTTTAAAATCATTCTCTTCGAAAAGTATTTTTTTTATTTTACTTTTTGAACTGCTGTTTACTAAATTACTAATTTAGTGGCCATCTTAAGCATTTATGCTAAGCTAAGCTCAACTAACCATCTCCCAGCTGTGGCTTCATATTGAATGGATTTTGTTTTTATTAGGGCTATGTTTAAGAAAAACATTCTGAGAATTTCAAGAGTAAAGTCAGAATATAATAAGAAGAGACAAAAGTTGTATTATTACAAAAAAACATATTTAATGAGGATCAAAAGATGAAGTGTTTGGTTTTATTGGAACCTATACAAAAGTATTACTTAAAGGTTCAGTGAAGATTGAATAAGAAATTGAATATAAAATGATCCTAGTGATGTTTTCACTGGTGTGTTACACCTAAATTGTTTGAATGTTGTTTTCTTTACGATATAATGAACCTTTATATCTAAAAACTGTTTATTTACATGGAGCGGTGGTCCTCTCTGTGGAGGACGCCATGTTTTTTGCGGTCGTCCAAACTGGACAAACTAAAACCTTTTGAGTTTTTATGACAACTGAACTTGACCACAGGTTCTCTTTCATGTTACGGGGAGGGTGAGATGAGGAATATTCAGCTGCAACATGAAACTTCACCTCTAGATGTCACTACATTCTACACACTGAACCTTTAACAAGAGGCTCTACATTCTTCATTGTCACACAGACGACAGTTTGATCTTCTGATATTGCCCCTTTAGAATGGCTAAAACTGACGTTTTTCTCATATTACAACTTTATTCTTGTAATTTTGCGATTTTAGTCTCATAATATTATGACCTTATTCTTGAAATCTCCCCTTTAATTGGCCCTAATACTTGTGGTAATAGACAGACTTGAGTATTGTGAATAATTGTATTTCCCAAAATTTCAGACTATACCTTTTAACTGCCAGTGTCCCACACAAGCAAAAAGAATAATCCAGGTATCAGTGCTGATGTGGAATCACCAGCTCATGTGCTCATATCACTTTCTGACAGCTAAACGTAAATCTGCAGCGGAGAGAGTCGATCACATTGTAACGATGCCAAACAAAAAGGCTGACATGACTGGAGAGTGTGTGGGTGGAAAATATTTTACATATCAAACAAAAATATATTCTGTGTAGGGGGAAAGAAAGTTATATGGATGATATTTAAAGCTGTATCACTGTCAGTCAAGTCAGATTGAGTGTGTGATGTTTTATCAGACAGGATGTCGTGCGTGATCTCTGCTCTTTGCACAACAGAGAGAGAGAAACTCTGCTCTGGACATTCAGCAGTGAGATGTGGCGCAGACTCGTGGTGGGATCATTTCTTTACTTTACTGACGGACCTTAACGTTTACTTTATTCCGAGATGAACCATCCTGACTTCGTACTGTGCTTCATTTTTCATCGGACTTAAGATTTTCCCCAAATTTTCTTAAGGTCCACTTCATGCTTCACTGTTCTGGCATTTCTGTGCAGCAGTAATGAAAAAACAGTAAAGCAGAGGATGAATGCAATCTTCTCTGAAACAAGGAAATAGGATCTTCCAGTACTGGCCATTTAAAAAGTAAAGAGGATGTTGGTTTGCCCACCACTGTGTTGCAAATAACAGCCTTTTAGTGGTCATTGGTGGGTGTAGCAACTGAAATCTCCACACTGGAATCAATGTTTGAATATCATCAGACCATATCATTCAACTTCAGTTCCTTATAGTTGTTAGTATGTGCAGAACAAGGTTTAGGCCATTAAATCATTTACTTTGACTTCCTTCACATTTTTACTACATCAATACCCATTTGTGATTATATCTTTTTCCCAGATATATCTATTCAGTGTGGATACATTTTGTATTAGTATGAATTGTTATATGACTCGTACTTGCAATATTCAAAAGATTACAGAAAATGTACTGGGTCTGATGCGGAGGACATAAATCAGGCATGTTTTTCACTTAATCCGACCATTGATCGTGTGCACAGCATCTTTGTCACAAAACTACAGGTGGGTTTCCTTTCACGTGTTTGAACATGCGCAAATTAAAAATGCACATTAAAAAAAACTCCAGTGAAGAGATATCTGAATTAATTTTCCACTGAATCGGGAAACAGTGAATAAATCATGATACACATATTCCCTGTGTTAATACATGAAACTTACATGAATACTGTATTTCCATCATGTTTTTAGATCGTTTTTTGCAGTTTGAGATTTGAATGTTGCTCTTTCACCTACATCATCTCATTGCACCAACTTTTCTTCTCCAGTGGTTTAATTTACTGGCACCTAACTGGACAATTACAGCATTATTTTTGCTTTCTCTTTTGGCTCTGGAAACCAGGCTATTGTAGACAGGGTTTTTTTATTTGAATTTATTGTCAATTAATCCCATCATTTATTTGACTGCACTGTAAAAACTTGCCCTTCTTCTGTTGGATTTCAGACTCCCCATTTAAAGCATGTTTCATTCTGTGTCATAACCAACAGTAATTACAGTTTTTGCCAAATCTACCATAAGCGAACATTTTAAGTTCATATATTAATATTATAATACTAGAAGGGAACTCAGTAGAGTGCAAACCTGCCAAGGCCCAAAAATCCCTATATGAAACCACAATTGAATTTCCTAGATCCTGGTTTTTATTTGGATCTGCACCAAATCTCATACATTCATAATTATCAGTCCTTTTTTAATGTCAGATTTCTTTCATCAAGATCTGTGAATTGTTCAATGACAAATTAACTAAAATGAAAGTGAAACTAATTCCTGGTTCAGCTACAATTCAGTAGCTTCTGCGTAATCCTGCAAAAAGATTTAGATGAAATAATTTGATATTTTGGGATATCAGTCATAAACTACACTGTGACTTTGACAAAATGATAACTGATCAGGACCAGATCACTGCTCAAACAACTCGTCTGTACACTGCTGCTCAGTGATGGTGCTCTGTTCTCACCACTGTCTGAATACAACTGTCTCTCGACTGTGACGGAACATTTTGAAATGTTTGTGAATTACTTTTGGATATGGTAAGATCTCTCATCCTTTTATATTGTTTTTATAATCACCATCGGTACTTTGTTTTCTCCTGCTAAGATGATGATGATCAAAACATTACAAACATAATGTGCCATAAAAGTAGGTAGATTTACACTCTATGCTAAAAGTCTTGATGTAATAAAGGTTTCGTCAACAAGTCCGCCACTCCAGCCGTTCATTAAAAAGCGTTGTAATATAAGGTTCATTTAGCGCGGATTGAAATACGATCGTCCTCCACATGATTTCCCTGATTCAAGGTGGGAAATGCAAACGCTGCACCAAACGACAAAAGCATTTCCTCACAGACCGTTCTCCTGGTTAGTCTGGTGAAGGATTTCTTTCTCCTGTGCTGCGTGCGACATCCATGGCATCATACCCGACCTTGTCCACCCTCTCTCTCTCCAGCAGTTCAGCTGATGTTGTTGTCAAATATATTAAATGACAGTAAAGATTATATAAATTCCTGTATGATGGGGAAAAATACATTTCAGTGTTCTGTATCCTGCGAATGATACAAAATAAACTTTGACATTGCACCTTTGCAAAGGCCTGACTGTGTTGTTTAATACTCAGTGAGTATCTTTCTTCTATCATCGCAAGTTAGTCTTTTACTAAGTCTAAGATTTACACACGACTGAATAGAGTTACACCACCTGTGAAGTGAAATCATTCTGACCATCCTGCATCCTCTGAGTAAGCAGATGGGCCATGGACCAAAATTTTGCCGAACTTTAAATTCAATTGATCCAGACTTTTAGTTGAATCTGTACCAAATTGCACACCCTCATAAATATCAGTCCTCCAAATATTCCTGCTTTATTTACTTCAATATCCATAGTTATTTTCTGGGAACACTCGATCGCTCTTTGTTTCTGATAGGAAAAAAATAATTTTTAGGAAAAAAAAGGTTCCCTATCATCCCTGAAACATATCCTCGGGTTTCTCACAGTTATTATTCAAACATACTAAATGTATGTTCTCTTGCTCTGACTCTTTCATCAATACTTTCATCCAATTCTGTTGGAAGAAATCTGCTGTTGCACCAGACAGCTTCTTTTAAACCTTATCTTAGTGGTCAATGGTTTGGAAACAACCATGTCAGCATAGTGTGACAACACTTTCTGAGGAGTTTTCAGCACAGTCGCTTCTTCCTCTTGCGTGTGCCTTACCTGGGTCAGTCTGATGATTAGCTTGTGCATTTCTGCAGCAGCTCCACAGCGTGCACCAGGAGCTGGACAGACTCTGTGTTCCTACACGAGTGTGCAGTGTTTGTATACTTTGTGCGTGAGGAGGCAGCATGGTTAGAGCGTCGGCTCCGAGGTATCAGAGCTGAAACACTTCCTCATCCTGCTTCACTCTCATGACTCTCAGCATAAACGACTCTCGGTCCAGCTCAGAACAGGCTGGCTTCATACTATATGTGACACACTGATTCCATCTCGTCTTTTTTAGGTTGATAGAACGTTTCTTACCTTTGTCAAATTACCAGTGTGAAGGTCGGATGTGACTTTAAGAAGCACCGGAGGAATGTGAAAACTGTAAGTATTACACTTTTATTTCTGAAAACAATCTTCATGAGCCACACAGTACTTCTTCGCTTT